GGCCTCACCAGCGGCCCTTCCTGATCGGGGTGAGCGGCGGCACCGCGAGCGGCAAGGTAAGGGGCTGGGCGGCCCGTCGGGGCCTGCCGTGTCCCCTCTGCCCCCGGCTCCCCGGGACTCCGGGCGGCCAGATCTGGCCTCGGTCCAGAGCGCCGAGGCGCCCCCTCCCGGGCGTGGGCGGGAGCTCCGCGGAGGGGCTGCGGCGCTGGTGGGCCAGGCCTGGGCCGGATCGCTTGCCTCGGGCTTCCCCAAAGCCTCCCCGCCAGCCTGGCCCCTGGGCACCCCCAGGTCCATGTCGCCCCTGCCAATGCCCCACGGCCCTCCTGCCAAGTCCAGCCCTGCTGTCGCCGGCCTAGCGGGCAGTCCCATGGGGGGACTGCTGGGTACCCAGGACCGGCCCCGGCCCCGTGGCGGGATGAGCGGTTTCAGGGTATTGTTTCTGTGTTCCCAGTCAACTGTATGTGAGAAGATCATGGAGTTGCTGGGACAGAACGAGGTAGACCACCGGCAGCGGAAGTTGGTCATCCTGAGCCAAGACAGGTTCTATAAGGTCCTCACCGCTGACCAGAAGGCCAAGGCCTTGAAGGGACAGTACAATTTCGACCACCCAGGTAGATCTAGAGATCCTGTGGTGGGCGGGGAGGAGGGCACACCACGGAGGGTGGGTCGGGGGTTGCACAGGGATGCAGAGACATCCGAGTGGTTCCATGGAATGGCTCAGGTGGCCTGAGGTGGAGGCCAGGTGGACTTTGCTGAGCTCTCTGGGTCTGGAGACCGTGCAGGAGCTGCTGGCTCCCTGGGTTGGAGCCAGTCAGGAAGTCTGCTCCTCTGAGGGGCCTTTGGGATCATCATGGTGATCTCTTACCTTCTCATTGTTAGGGGCACTTGGCACACACCTGTCCAAGGCGGCCTTTCCTTTCCCCACCTGCCCCAGGGGAGAGTCCCCGAGAGGCCAGCAGTGGGGAAGCAGTGGATAAATGAGAGAGAGGCCCTGACGCCTCCAATTCTGGGTCTGGTTGGGGGCCAAGGCAACAGGTGGAGATGGGGTCGATGAGGCCAGGCTGCCCCCGTCCGCTACTACTCTGTGGCTGGTTCCCATCTTCATACCTTTCCTGGGACACATGGGAAGAAGTCATTCGGTGGTTATTTTCCAGAAATAGAAACAGATGCCTAACCCACCTACCTCCCAGCACTAGTTGATCCGGAAATCCCTGTGTCCAAACTTCTGGGTGGGGCAGCCGCCTGGGCAGTGGCACTGCCGTGGTCAGCAAGGACAGGTCTGTCCTGTGGTTTGCAGGACTGCGGAGGGCTCTGTAAATGTAAACTGTAGCGGCAGCTCCCAGTCCAGGTGTTCCTTAGGGTCATGGGTCCCACTGGCACCAGCTGTGGGAGGTTGACCCCAAAGCAGAGGGAGTTCTCTTCTGCCCCGGGACACCTGGATTGTCTGGCCCTTTGTTCCATCCCTGCAGATGCTTTCGATAATGATTTGATGCACAGGACTCTGAAAAACATCGTGGAGGGCAAAACTGTCGAGGTCCCAACCTATGATTTTGTGACCCACTCAAGGTAAGCAGGTGGTCCCGGGGCTGGTGAGGGGCTCCCCTCCGGGGTTACTCAGAACACCCTGGCCCTCTGGTTTCTGTGGACACCCTCTGCCACCATGACCCGTTTCCTCCACGGAGGCAGTGCATGGAGACCATCTCCTGCTATCACCTGACAGGTTACCCGAGACCACGGTGGTCTACCCTGCAGACGTGGTCCTGTTCGAGGGCATCTTGGTGTTCTACAGCCAAGAGATCCGGGACATGTTCCACCTGCGCCTCTTTGTGGACACCGACTCCGACGTCAGGCTGTCTAGAAGAGGTAAGGGGATGCAGCCTCCGCCCTTGGCCACAGTGGGTCTCGAGTCCCGGGGTCTGAAGGTCACCGTTTTGGTCCTGTCCCGCTGCAGTTCTCCGGGATGTGAGCCGTGGGAGGGACCTGGAGCAGATCCTGACCCAGTATACCACCTTCGTGAAGCCCGCCTTCGAGGAGTTCTGCCTGCCGGTACCCACCTTTTGCTCACTCGGAAATGCCTCTGTTCCTTCTCTGAATGACACGTGGCACCCATCCTGTGGGAGCCGACTGTGGGTGATTGTGCTCTGATTTATAAATGGATTTAGCATCTTATACCCAAGTACCCAGGGAGTGGTCCCCAGCTCTCAGAGGTTCTCCGCCCTTGCCCCCCGTGGGCACATCCCCTCGCTTCTGGCTTTCAGCCAGGTCACCTGCATTGCCTTCCCCGTGACCCCAATGGCCCCCAGAGACCTCTGCTCCGGCCTGCTGTGTCCCCAGGGTGCTTCTCACCATCTGATGGGCCTGGGCCCTTGCTCACTCTCCGCCCCTCTTACAGGGCGATCTCCACGTAGGAAGGGATTTTATCTGTTTGTGGCCAGGAACACCTCCTGGCATGGAGCAGGCACTCAGTGCCACCACCCTGGTTTCCCCCCAGGCTGTTCCCGGCTGGCACGGAGGTCCAGCCGCCTGGCAGAGAGGACGCGCTCGGTCGTGTGGACGTGCGTCCTCTCCTCCGTGTTACTTTTCTAACTAGACAGGACTTGCGGCTCTGCTCAAACTGGAATGTTTTAAAGGGAAATTTAATAATACTTTGCTTCTTGGAGGTAAAAATACAGCACAAAGGAATTAAAACCAGGGTTTCTGCTTTAGATAAGTAGGACAAATGAGTTGTCTGCTGCTGTAATAAAACTTTTAATTTTACATTCACGTTCTGGAAAGTAACTAGGGAACTAAATTTTTAGACTGTTAACAGTGGACACCAAATCTGACCATGGAGGCAGGCGCCATCCTTGGCCAGGGCCCCAGGAACTGTCTTGAGCCTCCCTCTCTCTCCTTCACGCATTGTGTCTAAGCGGACCGTGTCCCTCCCCGTCCCCTGCTGGCTGTTAAAGACTGTTCTCTGCCCTTCGCTGGGCTCCAGCTCTGCTCCCCTTCAGTCTGCATCTGCGCCTCACCGGCCAGCTAGGCTCTCTGTGCTCATGCCTTCCCTGGGGCTCCACTGCCCGCAGACACAGCTGCCCTGGGACTTGGTCCCTGCCCACCTCTGTGGCTCAGCTCTTGTGACATGCCTCCTTGGCCCAGATCCCCACACCAGCAACACCAAACTTTTTGTAGGTCCATCCCACGCACCACACCAGTTCCTACCCCCCCGACCTCTGCTTTGCCTGATTCAGGTGTGTCCTCTTCCGCAGCATCTGGTTGGGGTCCCTGCACCACCCAGTGTATCTCTCTAGAAGAGAGGTGAGGTTGCTCAGCATGGGACTGTGGCCATCCTTGCAAGGATTAAGTATGTGGCATCGGGTCCTGCTCGCTCCTGCAGGGGAAGCACACGTCACATGTCCTGGCGGCTGCCACGCTTCCCTCGGCTGGTAAATTCATTTGTTAGCACAGGTCGCTGTCTGGGCGGCGGTGCTGGTAGGAATAAGCAAGAACAGCGTTTCCGAGACGCCAGGAGAGATGCCATTTCTTCTGGCCGCCTCCACCACCTTCTGCCTCACTTCCTGGAGCACCGTCCCTCACGCCTGGTCGATAATTACCCCAGAGCTCTGCCTGCCCCCCACCTGCCTGTGACAGCCATCTGGGTACCCCAGGACATGCTCGCTTGCCATTGCTTCGAGCCCAGCCCTGAGCAGCTTAAAGTCACCTTGGGAGAGGGACAGATCCCTATGAGACCCTCTTTTTTGCCTTGCAGACAAAGAAGTACGCAGATGTGATAATCCCTCGTGGGGTCGACAACATGGGTAAGGACCAAGCCTGACTCCTCTGCCTGTTCCCAGGGCCACAGGGCGGCTCCAGCCCAGAGCGCTACTGAGAAGCCCAGTGTGAGGCCTGTCTGTACGTGTGGCACAGGTTTAAACTGTACTTAAAATACATTTAACGTGCCGTATACCTTAAACTGACATGTTACATGTCAGTTACGTCTCAGTACAGTTGGTGGGAAAGTACAGTTATAGCAAACTGTTGGGCAGGGAGTCACTGTCAGCAGAAAGTCCTTTAACCAGGCTGTACGTGAGCACAAACCCTCGCAGACCAAGCGGGAGGTCTGGTCGCGCTCCCACCCCGACGTGCGTGTCTGCCGAGATTTGGCGCCGGGCAGACGGAACCAGTGGGGCTTCCTGGCCACATGCGCTGGGGGCCGGGCAGGTGTGGCCAGCGAGCGACGGCAGCCCTTCCTCCGGCCACAGCCGCAGTGGGAGCGGAGGTGGCTAAGTGGCTCTTGTCTCTCTGCCGCAGTTGCCATCAACCTGATTGTGCAGCACATCCAGGACATTCTGAATGGGGACATCTGCAAGTGGCACCGCGGAGGGTCCAATGGGCGGAGCTACAAGAGGACGTTTCCTGAGCCAGGAGACCATCCTGGGGTGCTGACCCCCGGCAAACGGTCGCACCTGGAATCCAGCAGCAGGCCCCACTGAGGAGCGGTGCTCGGCCTCCTGCAGGACCCCAGGAGATGCCCACCAGCCCCCAGAAACGCACTGCCGCTTCCTCTGTGGCCCCTGGCCAGCCAGTGGGGGGTGGGTGAGGGCGTTCCCCACCGACACGTCGCTCCAGCTCACTTTGCTGGGACGTTGGTTGGCAGGCCTTCCTGGTGTCTGCACCTGCTCCCTCGTGGAGGGTCACGTCCCTGGGTCACACTGGGAGTGCTGCAGGTGGTGTGGTGAGTCCCTGGTGGCTGCTTCCGGGAGGGACACAGGTCACGTATTTTGGGGAAGACTGAGGAAACAGCCTGGACACTGGCTGTTCCGGTGATTGTGACAGTGACCTCACAGAGACTTTCTACTAAGATCTGTCTGGTTGTCTCACACACGTGTAACAAAGTCTGAACAAATAATACTCTTTTTGTACGCTCCACGTCCAAACGTTTCCTAACACCATACTAGTTGCGACCTATTAGCCCACTTTGGTGACCCGGTAGTGGGCTGCAACCCAGTCTGGTGCACTGACTTAAAGAGCCAGAGATGCACGCCCCCCGCCCTCCCCACCCCACCGTGCTCTGAAGGCGGGGTGAAGAGCAGCCTGGGGGACAAGCGTTTTTGGTAACCAGCATCACAGAAAGCAGCGTCCCTGTGGGTGGGCGTCCAGGTGCCTTTGGACAGGCCTGCCCTAGTGTAGCCGGGGGCCAAGGCGTGTGCCGCGGCCCAAAGCCAGCCCACCTCTCTGCGTTCATCCAGAGTCCGTGGCCTCACGAATCCCTGTGGTCTGTGTTGTCCCGTTGTGTCTTCCCTCCCACATGGTGGCCATTTCTGTAAAAGTGCCCCTTTCCCATTGCCACCAGCCAAACTCCAGGGGCATCCTGGTTCCTTTCTGTTGAATTGTAACTAGTACATAACATGCATCAGCCGAGTGTGGCAGAGCTCCGTGGCTGGTTTCTGGTGACTGACAGTTTGTCAAGCATATTATGTCCTTTTTGGAGAGAGAATAAATAACACCAATACGAATACCAATTTGTCCCTTTTTAATTACATCAAAAGAGACAACTTCGGGGCAAGGAAACGTATGGGTGACACAAACCTTGACTATTGAAGGTGCTGCCCACACACATCTCGACAAACTCACAGGGGCTGAAGAGTCAGCCACCGTGACGGGAGGCCCCCCCTCCCATCACCCCAGTGGCTCATGACACTGAACTGCTCCCTGGGGACCGGAACTCCAGCTCAGTAGGTCCAGTGGGTGTGCGGGAAGGACCAGGCCCGTCAGCCAAACCCCCATACCTGCAGCACCCACATGTCATCAAGACTGGCCCACCAGGCTGACGACTCCCTGTCCCCGCCCACTCCCTCCCTGCCTTTTCTCCTTGGCTGAGTCCTATGCTAGCCGCTCAGCTCAGCACAGCATGTCCTGGGAGTTAATGGACACGGAACATGTTCTTTACTTCCTGGAAAAAACGAACTTTGCTTAAATGAGGTGCCTGTCAAAGGGCTGTTAAGAACAAAACCAGAACAGAGCCTTTGCCAGGCCTGGCCGGTCCCCCGGAGCCTGGAGCACTCCCATTGTCACAACTCGGCAGAGACGGCTCTACCTCGTCCCAACCCAGGCCCGATGTTCTTCACTGTATCCTGTCCTAGTACTTCCGGATCAAGATGTCCCAGCTGTCCTTCCAGCGAAGGGCCCTGAGTTCGCTGGGTGAGAGCGACCTGTCCCCATAGGTCAGCGGGCGCAGCGCGTTGAACACGTGGCAGGCGGCTGAGTACCATGCCACCACCAGGGCGCCGAAGAGGCTGCTCTGGATCTGGGACCTGTGGGTGCCAGACCAGGGCGCAGGCGTGAGGGGCTGGCTCTTCCTCCCTGTGTCCTCCACCTCGCGGCATCTCAGCACCTGTCACCTCGTGGTCGCATACCCCGGCCTCTGTGTTCCTCCTGCCACCCGCCACTTCATCCTCAGCCCTCTCGCATGCTGCTTCATGCACCCGGCACGGCTTTCCTCACTCGCCTGCTTCTAGAATCTTCCCCCGTCTAAATGCAGATGCCACCGTGATCACACCGCAGCCCTCCTGGGATACTCGGAGGCTGCTAACTACCAAAAACCAGTCCACGCCCTTTGCCCTGGCCTCCAGCTCCGGCTCTGGTTTACGGCTTTCCGTCCGGCTCACCCCCGCCCTTCCCCCACAACATCCGACCCGCAACCACTGGCTGATCCAGGACGCACGGCACACCCCTCTGTCCCCAGCCTCGGTCCCTGGTCCTCTCAGCCACAACCATCCTTCCCGCTTCCCACGTCAGCTGTCTTCACCTCCCAGCCAACCATGGCTTCACCCTCAACCCCTGTGGCGCCTCTTCTGTGCCTCTCATGACCATAACCCACTCCATGTCACACTGAAACTGTCACTGGTGACTCCCTGGACCCCCAAGAGGCGTGACCGTGAGGCCCATACCTGCACAGGTGGTCACTGATGTGCTGCAGGACCACGGGGAGCAGGAGGATTTGGAAGGTCAGTGCGGGTAGGTAGTGGTAGAGGAAGACCGTCTTGTCCATCAGGAAGAAGGGCAGGTAGTTCACGGCCCAGCCACCGACACACAGGGCCCCGGCCAGCACCCAGCGCAGCCAGCAGTCTGGGGGACAAGCCATCTTCAGCCAGCGCCGATGACATGGGCCCCACCTGTCAAGGCTCTGCCCGCCTCGGGCCCTGGCTGACTCGTCCCTAAGTTACACGCACAGGCTCTCAGTCTGTGACTTCTTGTTGGGCCCTTCCTGGGCCCTTGCAGACCAGGCCCAGCCTCTGCGTGCTGGTCACAAGATCCCACTGGCCTCAGTGCCTATGGAGCAGGGACTCGTGGGGACAGCAGAGTGAAGGTGTCTCCAGGCCCTGCCTGCCCTGGGTGTTTACTCCTTTTCCATATCGAGGTGGTTTTAAGTGAGTTTCTGTATCAGGCGAACCACCACCACCCATGGCCCAGCTCCTGCGGCTGCTCTGTCCTATCCAGCATTGCCAGGGCCTGCGATAACGAGGCACCAAGGCTGTGCTACTGTCCTGGGTCACAGAGCAACTCCTGAAGCTCCCTGGAGAAGCCGTGAAGGCGACGGGGAGCTGAATTGCAACATTCTGTCTCGAGGGAAACAAGAATAATTTAAATTCCCTGGGTGTAGAGACAAAGAGATCACCTTAAGGTGACCCGCACTGACCCTCGGGGAGGTCGCAGATGTTCCTGCGGCGTCTGAGCAGGTACCAGAAAAAGAGCAGGGCGTAGAGCACGGTGGCCAGGCCGGCCGAGGCCCAGATCACGATGTTCCCCAGCAGGTGGATCTGCGCCTGTGAGTGACAGGGAGATGCTGTCAGCAGGCCCTCCGCCCCCAGGGAGCGCCCTCCAGCCCTACTGAGATGGAGGTGCCTGCTCCTGACAGACCCTTTCCAAAAGTGCCATGGTGCTCTTAACCCGGGAGCAGAGAGATGCTTTTTTAACGACAGAGCTGTTCCTGGGGGGAATGGCAGAGCGAGGCAGCTAAGGACGACTTCCCGGGGCCCTGCTTCCGAGTGCTCGCTGGCACTTCTGGGTGGGCAGGGTTTTCACTCCGGCTGGTCCACTGCATGATACCGAGCACGGCTCAGGCGGGGCCAGCACCGCATCGCTCCAGCGGGTGGAGGGAACGGATGTGTGAACAGAGCTGACAGCTCCGACGCCAAGTGCTGTGCGGGAACAAGGAGGGTGTTTTACAAACCACTTTTGGCGGAAAAGGACAATGCGCTCCCATGAAAGCAGAAAAGCCTGGTTTCCTTTGACATGTAGATGGGACCTCACGCTTTGGTGTCTGACGAGAGTAAGAGCCTGTGCTGCCGATGTATGTAGAGAGCAGGAGTCACAGGCCTTTGTGAGGACGCACTGCAGAGCCAGGACGTGGCGCCCAGCAGAGGACCTCGGGGCATGAGACGGCTCTGACGGCGGCTGGCGCCAACACTGCACTTACGCTGGTCCTGGGGTGCAGCCAGTAAGCGATGTTGGTGTCCAGGGTGACCCAGTCCAGTGGCGTGGAGCTGTACTTGTGCTCCGAGTCGTCGGTCCTCACTGTCAGCATCCTCCACTGTGACAAAGCCAGAGAGGCCTCAGAGCCTTCGCCACTCAGGGTCGGTCAGAGGTTGGAGCAAACCGCTGCCCTTCCACGCGGCCTGTCCACCTCAAGTCCCTTTGGGTCATGTGGCAATGGTGTGCTGGGCCGATGGGCGTGCTTGTCAGGAGACCTGATTCTAACCTGATTGTGACCTTTAGAGATGGCTCCAGTCACCTTGTCCATAAATAAAGTGACCGGCCTCAGTGCTAAGGGCATTTTCAGACCCGGGACCCCGCATTTGTGGTTCTGACGGCTCTAGGGATCCACCATGTTGACCGGGGCCCACTTGACCTGACCTGGGGGACGCTGAAACGTACCCTGGCAATGCGGCAATGCTACGTGGCTGCAGAACCTCCTGACTGCAAAGCCACAGTCCTGAAACTGGCAGTGCTGTGCTTGTCACCTACAGCAGAGGGAGCGACACGCTCCTTCACTGCTGCGTCAGGTCCTAGCTTAAAGACGGACGGACGTGGGAAGGTAAGGATCCCACAGACCGCGGAGCTTCCTCTGGGGAGGAGCCGGCCCCCAGAGAGCAGTCACGCCTCCCTCCGCGGGTCACCTGCAGCTCTGAGAATCTGGCCATGAAGCTCAGGTTTCTGCTGATGTCCATCTCGGTAGGCGAGTGCAGCTCCAGCTCCCTCTCCTTCTGTTCCTGGCCTGACGGAACACACCGGAACCCAAAGGAACGAGAATGGGGTCAGGGCAGGGGGTCACCGCAGAAAGCTGACTTCCCCATCCTCCAACACCCCCAACGACTCCGGCACTCCGCTCAGCCTCCCCCTCGTGAAGCCACCGGCGAATGAGAGCTTCGGGCTCTCAGGGAGCCTGACCTGGCCTGCACAGGGCCCCTGGGGGCCGGTCTCTGCCCCCGGGAGCGGCAGCTGGCAGGTGGCACTCACTCTTGCCGTAGCGATGCTCCTCCACGGTCCACGCGGCGCTCTCGTGGTGGCCCCGCGACAGCTTCTCCCCGACCACCTCCAGCTGCCGGAAGCCCCAGTCGGGGAGGTGCGCCCCACTCACCTGGAGGGCAGACGGGCGGACAAAAGGCTGTGACGGGAAAGCCCCAGCCTGGTCACCCCCACCGCCAGCCGCTGGTCGCAGGCAGACACTCCTCTGCGGTCTGCGCATTAGGGTTCAGTGCTAAGTCATGAAAACCCCGCCACCTCTGGGGTGACCCGCGGTATCGACATCCAGCAAACACCCTGCCCTAGAAGGTGCGGTCCGGCGGAGTCAGGTGCCCGGCTCCTGTGGGCTTGGGGCGCAGGCCGAGCCAGCCGGAGTGTGCAGGTACCTTGAGGACCGCAGAGGTGTTGAGGTGCACAAGGCGCACCTCAGAAAGGATGGTCTTCCAGATGTCCGTGTCCGCGTCTCTGTTCACGATGTCCTGCAAAGCACGCCTGGTGGTCAGGTCGCTTTCGTGCCCGGGGCCCCTCTCCCACGAACGCGAAGGCCAGCCGCCGAACACCAGCACCGAGCTGGCTGGTAGCGGGACGAGCGCCCGCAGGAGCAGGCGGGCCGAGCCACCGTGACAGCCACGCACGGGCAGCACGGGGCAGCCCCAGGGACCCAGGCCCCTCACTGCGGTCTGGGATGCCTGTTCACCCCCAGGGCTCAGACGGCACAACGGAGGTCAGGGACTGTCCCTGGGAGGTGTCCTTGCCGGACTCCTGACATCGGGCAATAAAACACATCTGAAAAGCACTTGGCGTCATCCTAGCCTCACGATGACCCTGTGAGGTCACGTAGCTGAGAACCAGAGAACCCAAGGGCTAAGTGGGAGCTGGGCCCAAGGGTCCGCCTGGTCATCAGCTGTTCTCCCTCTCCAGTCAGGCTGGAGGGGCCCCCAGCAGGGACTGAGGAGGAGGGGGGCAGGGATCAGTGATGAGACCTCAGCAGCAGGCCGGCAGCCCGGGAGCGGCTCTGAGGAGAGGCTGATGGGAGGGGCTGGCGCAGAAACCCCCAGGAGGCGGCAGTGTAGGAAGGCACCCGACACCCGCAGCACGGGGCAGAGGGACGCGCCCCCGTGCACGGAAGTGGGACGCTGATCCCCGCCTTGCTGACGGCCTAGCAGCTGCACGGGCTGGGGGTGTGTTAAGTGGGGGCTGCTGGAGGCTGGGAGGGAGCCTGACTCTCGTGGAGACCCCAGCTCCGCTGCGCAGGCTGAGGCTGCACGCACGCTCACGCCCTTGACTTCAGACGGTCCAGTGGTCTGTTCACATAGCATTCCTCCCACACCCTGGCCCAGGATGCCATATGCAGCTCTGGAGGGCGAGGGGGACTCTAGGGGGACCACCTTCCCCAGGTCACTCGGAGGAAGGTGGCTACCAGCCCCGCTGCCCCAGGAAAGGGCAGTCCCCAGGAATCCCCCCAGGAAATCCAGTGACAAGGGCATTTATCACTGCTGAGCGAGGGTTGATGGGAGAAGCACCACAGTTGACGGGACGTGGCTGGAGCCTCCTACTCTGTGGTCAGTGACCTGGTCTTGGGGCTGAGTGAATGGCCAGCACCCAGAGCCCAGCACGGGGCATTTACCACCTATGAAGAACCCGTCCTGACCCAGGAACCGCTGGGTTCCCGCAGTCCACAAAAGAGTGGTCTGTGCTCCCCGTGAAAACGTCTGCGCTGCAGCTTCTTTGGGGCTGAAAATCCCTGACCTGACTCTACACCTGCATCGAGACTGTTCCACGGGCGGTTTCAGCGTGG